CCGGGAAGATACGGGGAATGTTCGAGGGGAAGAGCCTTTATCAAAGATTTTATCTGATTTGGGGGGAAGAAATTCTGGAAGCCGTCCGCTGCGTGCGGATTTCTTACGCTTTGAAATCCCGTTTAATAACTTAGTTATTTGAAAGTTTGTTAGGCGGAGCGCCAGGGGAAGCTGCATTACTCGAACAATGGGATCGCTCACTTCTTTTAAACACCGAACTGTCAGTTTTTGCAGAAGCAGGCCCTAAACCACTAACTGAGGAGTGCTAATGGGGTTTTTTTTTTTTTATTCCCCTCCTTTTAAAAACAGCATTCGTGGCCTGATCCTGCAGGCACACAGTAATTCTGCTCACACAAGTCAATACTATCTCCAGTTTATTGACTATTCATGTGCATAAAATTACAGAACATGAATTTTGGCTGAAGTATGATGTAATATTTGGCCAACAAAAATACAGTAGTAGTAGCAGCAGCACTTCTAAATGGTACTAAGTTCCTGTATTCATATATTGTCTAAATTAATGCAATTTTCTCTTCTAATATAATCTCCATTTTAAAGGCTAAATAAAGGATTCTAGGTTTGTGCAAATATATTATGAACTTCTTGCACTGCAAGACCAATTTTGCTTCAACCTTTTTGTATCCCCAGTTAAACTAGCTGTGTATATATGCTAAGCTTTGGAAAAAATAATTTCAAAGAGGAATCTGGAAGAGTTTGAATTATTGAAAAAGGATTATAACAAAATTTCCAATGTTTCAGTACTATTATTTGATAGTGACAAGGTGTTGTGCCAAATCCAGCTTCAAAGCATTCTCCAAAATCGTGACTCTGATGTCACACCAGTCCAGAGAAGTAGATTTAACACTATTTGACCAACGTAAAGACTGATACAGAAGTGAAAAAGTGCCCAGGAAGACAACAGAAAGATGCCAAAGGAAAGATAAATAAGACTCATTTGGGTGGTCTCACTGTTAGATTACTGCTTGTTGGCTGCACTTCTTTTTTCACCTAGACCATATGGTCCAGGCTCTTTTAAATGCTTCTTACAAAATGGACTAACCTGGTTCTGCTCACTTACCCAGACAGGATAATCTCGTTAATCTCATAATGGCCCTCCATTCTGAGCATGCACTGGCTTTCAACTAGACTTGTCGGAACAAATGCTTACCATTTTATGGATGCATGTAAATGCACTCTTTGCTTCCTTCCCATCATTGTTTGCTCCTTCTTTGCCCTACTACTGTTACTATTTTTGTGAAATTATGCAGCACTTCTAAGATCTCTTCTGAACAAGCTAGTGCTGGTTCTCCTATTCAGCAGCTTTTGCTGTTCTGATTTGCACTGAAGCAACTTTAGATTTTACTAAGGCAGCCAGGTTCACTGCAGGCTAGAAAATCTGCACGTGAATAAAAGGAAGTCATTTAATATGGCACACAGAAAGTTGCCCCGTGGAGACCGGGTGCAAACCCAGCATGCCAGCTTTCAGAACACAGACAGACAGTATCTCTCAGAAAAAGAATCTTTACTTCATGCAGGCAATCACTCAGTACAATCTACTATATTTTTGTGTTGGCTATTTTGTTGTGGTTTTTTTTTTTTCCCCTGAACTAGTTATCTCTTCCTTCAACTGTGACTTTTTGTAATTCACTCTAGGAGACAAAATAGCAAGAATCTGGACCAGAAAAAAATCCCACCATGCAACCAAATCGCAGTCATCTCCACAACATCCAAGGGAGTGGTGATGACTCTTCATCTTCTCAGAGCGCCCACGCAGCGAGGTTGTCAGGAGCGAGCTCGTGCCATCATAGTGGAGATGTTCACATACAGCTAAACTCTGCTGTGGGCGAAGCCAGAGAAAATGCGAGTTCCCGGCATTCAAGGCCAGGTTCCCAAAGTCACTCACATGGACATGCCCACAGCGAAGCAGGGGGGCTCGACGATTCTACTCCAGACTCAGAGGAACACAGCGGCAGCTCCCTCTCAGAGCTCAGATACCTCTTCCAGTGGCTGCACAAAAGTCTGCCTTATATCTTGATTCTGGGTGTCAAATTGATCATGCAGCATATAATTGGTAGAGTATAACAAAATAAGGTCTGAGGGAACAGACCCTCCTCCCAAAGAGATATACTAATAACCATGCCTGAAATATAATTCAATTTATTTTTAGCTTTATTTTTATTTGCTTTATTTATCAGAAAGAGAGATTTACTAAACTACATTTCAGTGGCTTCTGTTTCCTCTGCTGGCATATGTACAATCTGCTTAATTATTCTGGCTTGAACTCAGAGCTATTAATTGTAATTACAAAGACATACTAAAAGTGGCTGGTTTTTTAACCCAGTTCAGTAAATTTTTTTATTTTCTTGGGTATAACTGACACTTTTTTCCTAATAGGCATTTCTCTTGGAATTGGGCTGCTAACAACTTACATGTATGCAAACAAAAGCATAGTAAATCAGGTTTTTCTAAGAGTAAGTATCACCCTATGCAACAAAATAATGTAAGTTAACAAAGACCTTTATCCATCAATTTTTGAAAGAAATATGAATGGAGATACTGTTTTATTTACCTAGTAATATTAGGTGTCAAGGTTTCAAGATGGAAGTAAAGTCTTAATGCTTCTATACAGCATAGAGCTGCTCAGATAAGTAAGGTTTGCAAAATCCAAAAAGAGGGGCTTTTCCCCTCTGACTTTGAATATTAAAATCACTTCAACTGATAAAAGCTTTTTGGAATTTATGGAAGAACTTCTTAATTATATTTGTGGAATCAAATAGCAGATGACAATTTAAACTTTCAGCTGTCTCTGTTCACACCCAAAGGAAAATTTGTTTCTTCAGAGTGGGGTGGGTTTTGGTTGTGTTTTTAGCAAAAACCTTGATGCACACAGAAATCGTTATGTTGAAAACATTAAAATTACTGCTTTACCTTTCCATTGAGTTCTCCTATTTTATTTGGTTAAAACCACTAAGATAAAATCCTCTAGTAGTAACTAAGTTCAGGTGCAACAGACTTAGTGCTTTAGAGAGATATTTAAGACACTGATACTGAGATAAGGACTGTAATATGTCCTTACAATTATCTTACAGGAACGGTGCTCCAAGTTGCAATGTGCTTGGTTACTAGTATACCTAACTGGATCATCTCTCCTCTTGTATTACACCTTTCATTCTCAGTCCCTGTATTACAGGTAAGTAGAGGAACATCTCTACTCACATCATAAATTACTCAAATATTAACTGGGAACATTTTATCTGGGCTGCTGCTGTTTTTCTTTAATTGTGGCATTGGTTTCTCTTTAATTTTAATCTCTCTCTCTCCTCTTCTGCCAAACTGAACAAGTGCTGTCCTTGAAAAGAGTATATTGGAATTTGCAAGATTAGACCCCATACTCAGTGTAATGGCACTACTGTACCACGGGGAATGTACCTGGGTTTGATTCCTAGCTTTGACCCTACCTTCGGAGTACTGAATATATGGCATGCTGGGGCACTGTGGAGTTTATGTCACCCATTTCCCCCCCCCCTTACCATTCTGTAGCTACAGTCTCAGCTGTAAATCAGTCAAAGGCTGTATTGCTAAAATGGGAAAGAAAGCCTGTCTCTAGAGGATGGGGGTTGTGATGAAGATACAGGAAGGAAGGTTCAAAAACTGAAAGGTTGACAGAGATCCTAAATGATCAATTTGCAATAAAGAGTTCATTTTCTTAGCAAATATTCTTCTATGTAAACCAGGTTTCCTTTTTTAATTAAGCCTGCCATGATAATCTCTGGTTATGCTTTCCTCTAAATAGGGTGCGCCAGTAACTTCTGATAATTCTTTTTGTAGCTTAATCTTTTTAAACCCTACTGTGGATTTTATGAACTTCTGGGAGGTACTTTGGATTGTGGGAGTCACAGACTTTATTCTGAAATTCCTCTTCATGAGCTTCAAGTGCTTTATTCTCTTGGTGCCTTCTTTTATGATGTCCTTTAAATCCAAGGTAAGGAAACAAGCTATATTTTTGCTTCCTTACAATGATTCTTTTATGGTAAAATTAGCTAATTATTAAATTCTACCCAGAGAAAAATCTTTTTAATTAAAGGTCTGTATATAATCCACCACTATACTGTGGGCAAGAAAACCCTGTGGATTTCATGTTCTTCTCTGCTTGGTGCTAAGGAAGGTTTACAGTCTGATCCGAAACAATTGCTTGTATTATGTCATTGGATGAATAGGTTTATTTCTGTCTCTAAATGGGGGGGATGAAGAAACCTTTTATTTGGTGCAATGTAAGAATGTGTATACTGGCGGTTAGCACCGAGCAGCTGATGCACAGTAAATTTTTTACATGCTTGACAGTAACTGACATGGGAAGATTTTAAGATCTGCACATGCAAACAGCTGTATTTTCTGTCTCTTCATAAATAATTCTGAATTTTCTTTTTGTTAATAAACTTAAGCAGTATTTGTGTCAGATCACTGAATTTGATTCATAGCTTAATTCCTCAAACCAGTGAAGTTTAATGATTTTTATAGAAGCCTACGTTGGTTGGTGGGGTACTTATTTTTATCTGCTTCCCGAGGTGAGATATGGAAAAAAATTAAATTTTATGTCAAAATAGCAAATACTAGTACTGTTTTAAAAAAAAAAGAAAGAAAGAACAAGTACAGTTTGTACATGACAGCATTTGAACAGGATGTTTTGGTAGGATTTATCTTTTTAAATGTACCAGGACAAAATTTTTCTCAGAGACAACCAATTTCTCTAAATACCAGTTTATAATCAAGATTTCTTTTTTTTTTTTTTTTTTAAATACAACATCCGAAAAATAATTGTTGAAAATTCAGTTATACCAACTGTGACCTAAGCTGTGGCTAAATTAAAGAGGGAATCTGGTCAATAGCGGCAAGACATGGCATTATCCAGTGTACGTTATAGAATAAGTACTTCTTCCCTGTTATAAATCTATTTTTTTAAGGAAATAAAGTAAGAGTTAAGCTAAATGTTTATGATTATACATGCACACACAGTGCTCTGTGTGGGACACTTGTGCTTTGTAGTTGTTATTCAGTAATTTTTAGGGTGTCATTGAACTCTGTTTACCTGTTCAGTCCAGCTACTCTATGCTTCTTTCTCCCCCTACCACCACCATTTTCTTACCACTGCATCCTATGCAGGAGTTAATTATCACAAGATAAGGCTTCTTACACAGGCATGAAATAATGTTTACAGGAAAATAGTTTGTAATTTATGTTTGTTAATAAAAGAATGGGCCTTACACTCATTTTTTAATCCTGAATGCAGGACACAACTCTGCTAATGACAAGCTGATGTATATGACCAAATTTGTCTTATTTTCCTTTAACTTTTTTTTTCTTTTTTGATGCTTATGAGATTAAGTCTGATAGCATTGTTAAGAAGGTAGGCATCTGACAAAGCCATCCTATTTTAGTCTATTAATTTGATTTTCTGCAGTACAGCAATCATGTTATTGTTATTTGTACAGTTGTGGTGAGACTCATCATCTGATCTTCACTCCTTTTCATGCTTCATATTTAGTTGTTTCAAGATATTATGAGAGGAAGTTACTCAAAAGAATAACAATGCATCTTTTCTCTATATTTTAAAAATCCTTTATATTTTAAATCTTGAGCGATTCCTTTGCATGTCTTGCTCAGGGCTACTGGTACATGCTGTTAGAAGAACTCTGCCAGTATTACCGTATGTTTGTCCCCATACCAGTTTGGTTCCGTTATCTTATTGGCTATGGGGAGCTGGACAGTGCACTAGGATGGACCCTTGGGATATTGCTGGGCCTTCTCTACCTCATCCTAAAAGTATGTAAGCTTTACATTCCTCTCAAACTATTTTGCAGTAATTATCACTGGAGGGTTAGAGGCACATAAACTAACACATTTGTGAACGTTCCCGTCTTTGAACTGACTTGCAAGTCGATGCTTCAGTTTAACTGATACAGCTTTCCAAAACTGAGAGGAATACTGGCTCAGGGCACTAAATCTTTTTTTTCCTGCACCTGTTCTGGGAATGGATTGAGGTTGCATAGCAAAGAATACTGTTACTGTAGGTCCCCTCACATCAGACATTGATCAGACTGTTAACCAGATATTAAGGAAAAGAGCTTGCAAAAATAAAGATAAAATTAATAGCTAGAAGAATCAGCATTTTCCAGGAAACCAGATTTTCTCTCTGCTAGAGTATCCTGTGCGATGGTAAACAAGTTAAACGTAAGTGTTCACACTGGCTGTCTACTTCACCAAAGAGCTAATCTGCCCCAAATGTAACCAGAGTCGGTACAAGTTCGGCTTTGAACACGAAAAATACTTTATAATGCTAAGGTATCGTAATCACAAGTCTAAAGACTAGTGCATATATGATAATAATGCTGGTATATTTGCACTCGAGTGCTTCATTTCAGAACCTCAACACTATTTTTCTTTTAAAGAACAGACATCTACTGGGAAAAAATCTTCAAGCTAAATTCTTAGTTCGGTTACATATTAAGCAACTAAAATAGGGTCAGTCTGAACTATAGCTTTGCTTATGTTCCTGCCAACATCAAATCAGCAGCGAGACTTCCAGCATTGCACAAAAGCTTGGAAGCTTTTTAGTTCACAGAGAAAAATACTAAGCATAACTCAGGTTTTCTTTCCCATTTCAGCTTTTGAGCTTTTTTGGACAATTGAGAAACTTCAGGCAGGTCTTACGGATATTTTGTACACGACCAGTGAGTACTGAATTCTCTTATGACAAAACAATAAGCCCAATTTACATGAAAATACTTCTTTTTTAAATACCTCATTCCTATATTACTTTGTATTGTTCTAGCAATAGACAACTGAATTTTTAAAGTAAACCCTGTATACTTGTTCTCCCATTTCACAGTCTGAATTCCTTGACTATGTTGTCATCCGAACAAAAAAAAAAAAAAAAAATCTATTCTGCATGTCTCTTCAGATAAATGTAATAACATGCCCTTTTTGTCCTGCTTCCTACTTTTTAACTGGGATAAATATTGGTTGGATGCAGGCAGAGCTTTATGCTGAAATAGAGTGAGAATTGAAGCTTACCAAAATAATTGACATGCAAGTAACTTCTGTTAGAATTGTAAGTTTCTAGATAATCTTTCTCTACAGTAAGAGGTATTGCTTAGAGTCTGCTATTCATGCAGTAAAACGTATAGATTTTGGAGCACAGTGTCATTGAACTAAGAGAAAATAAAGCACTTCTCACTTTCTAAGTGCTGTCTTGATCAAGTTGGAACTTAACACAGTGTTTTGCTCAGAGTTCCCTGTTAAAATAAAACTGATACAGATTTTTCCAGTAACTGTGATCAGTGGAAGATACTAACTAGACAGCATGGTAAGTGGGAGCACATAAGCTTTAGGCCCCAAGACAACCATTGAAAAACTTAACAATATTTCGTTGGATTAGGGATTGAATAGTTTCCCTGACATAGCAGCCCTTATTCCCAATTCCTTTCTGTCCTGGTATTTTTGTGTTTTGTTTTGGCTTCCCCTCCCCCCAAGAAACTAATATCTGCTGAAAATACCTTGTTTTACAGCACTACGGGGTGACAGCTAGCAAGAGACAGTGTTCTGAATCTGATGATATTTGTTCAATCTGCCAAGCTGAATTTCAGAAGCCTATTCTGCTTATCTGTCAGGTAATACACATAATCAGAATTCTTTTTTGCAAACTTAAGAACATTTTAAACAACTGGTAAACAAAATTACATAAAGTTAGACTAGTGAGTGTATGTCTTCTGATTATTTTTAGAAATCAGGCTATGCAGATAATACACCGTCTTATAAATGGAAGAGCTTAGAAGCTCTAAGTTCTCATTCTTTTCATTACAGCACACATTTTGTGAAGAATGCATCTCTTTATGGTTTAATAGAGAAAAAACGTGTCCACTCTGCAGAACTGTTATTTCAGACCATGTTAACAAGTGGAAGGATGGAGCTACATCTATGCATCTACAGATTTTCTAAAGCATGTCAAACAACTTGTTTTACAGTTTGTTTGTTCAAGCTAAGGTCTTTCAGTTTACTGCAGATTAAATTGTAGGTATCATAAGGAACAAGTTTCCAAATTCTAGGTATCATGCTTCTATGAAAAGTTCCAGTATTTAAAACAGTGCAGAAAATGTTAACTTGACCTTCTTAAGTATAGAAAAGTAAGTTTTCAGAATGAATGCACAAAGCCAGCATTACTTCTCTTGTGATTCTTGTAGGAAACAATCAAGTCCTTGAAAAATGCTGCATTACTTCTTGCAGCAGCTTCTTAATTCAACATTTTATTTAAAACTTTAAGTAGAGTTCCAGACTGTACTAAATTGTATTTATCTTTCTAACACAACTCAACCCAAAAGGTCAACCTACCACTTCTATTAAGATTATGAGCAAATTTTATACTCTGGACTACAGTGAGAATTAGAGCTACTTGTCACACTTGGCATTAAAGGTCCTTTAATGCTAGCCCAATAGATCAGAGAAATTAGCTTCTTACTCATGCACCTTTAACAGCAACTGTTTCTCACTGTACCTGGAGATAAGCCACAAGAATAAGATGTTTCCCCTTTAGGTTCTTGTAGAATTCTAATGGATCTTTGGCTTAATACATAAACCAAGCACTGATGTTAGTTTTTTACTTAGCATTTTATAAAGTTGGTATTTTTAAAACAAATCTTTAATGCTATATTTTTGTCATAACAGGAACCAGATTTTCTTACAGGGGAGAATCTATTTTATACTATATTTGCAATTTGTAGTATGCATAAAAATCAGAGAGAATAAATGCATTTAAATCTATTTGTTTGGTGCATGTTGAATAAAGAAAGAAGATTCATTATTGTTTCAGTATTAACTTACATGAAGCACATAACAACAGCTCACCGCTAGGTATACTTTTCCTGTTAAACTAATGTCTCTGAAAAACAAAAAACCTCCAAATGCTACAACTTATTCATGACTAGTCTTTATGCTAATTATAGAGCTAACTTATGTACAATCTCACCTTTTTTTCCCTGCTTGTCTCTTTTCACCTTGCTCTTCAGAAAAGACTAAAAAAAAAAAAAAACCACTCAAATTATTCTGTAACAGGAAAGTTAAATTGAGTTGCCATTAACTTGAGCTTGTCTTAACTGAATAGCTTTAGGAAACTTCTAAATTAGGGAAAAAACAGAATTAAAAAGTTAAACACTTACTTGATGAATGATGTAGCAACTCAAATGGCCAGGCAGAGTGAGTACTATAAAGCTGCAGCTGACACAGCCAGATTTATAGGCTGACAGGGCATGATGGGAGAGTGCCCTTAAAGGTACAGCTAGAGGTGTAATACTAGTAGAATTTAGTATTCTGAATAAAAATCTAATGAGATGGAAGATTCAAGCTAAGAGGTACCATTTCATGTTTAACCTGGGTTTTGCTATAGCATGCTGTGTATTTGCTAATTGTATTTTTGTGTGAAGTTTACTGCAGTTCAGAGTAAATGTGCCCTATGATTGTTCCACCATGGTATCTGAGTGACTGGGGAAAAAGACTCCAGCTTAAAAAAAACAGGGAAAAGCTTCTAAGTCTGTAATTGGAAACTTATGGGAGTAGAAGAGACTGGTTCTCATGGAAGCCTTTCCCAGCAGGTGAGGTACTTAGTTTGGAGAACACGTGCAGCTGAATGGTGTTAGAGCAGTCCTGAGGGTGGCAGGGAAGAATTGGAGCTTGGCCACAGCCAGAGCTGTGCTGTAATGGGCTTGTCCCTGTACCTCCACTATAGTCAGAACAAACTGTTCTCTGTTTCCTCAGAGAAATCTAGCTATGCCTTAGCTTGCATTTGAAGTTCATACAAGATCAGAACTGTTATTTAAATTTCATCAGTGCTGATACTCAGACTGCTGCTGCAGCAGAACTTCCCTTGAGAGACAGACAAGAACTGAATCAGAACAAAAAAAGAGTAGGGGGAACTTAAGGTTGGATTCTGAATCTCTCATGGGCCCACAGAGACTTTGGCAGCTCACTTGGTTACACAATTGTATTTAGACTTTCCCAAACTTAATCATGAACATACAGTTTAGCTAAGGAGTGGTTTAAGGTTTTTTTCTTCATACAGGTATTGTGTGAGTACTGTGTAAAAAAAATTTGAGTGCTGTATTTAATTTAGTCAACAAATGGCACCTTTAAAAAAAGCTTTGCTTGTGTGAGTAGAACACGTGACTAAGCCCAATACAAAGTTTATAAGGGCAGATGTAATAACCAACCCTTTCTAAAATACTGGGCAATGTAAAAATTGTAACTTATCCTGGATTACCTTTTCCTGAAATGCCAATACCAACAGCTTAATCACTTTTTAATTCAAAAATCCTCTCAGAGAAAATACAAACTAAAATTCATTAGACTCGGACGTGATGTTAGAGCAAGGAAATGCACTTCCTAATACTTGAATATTGATTAAATTAATTGCATACCACTAATGGATAGCCATTCATCAGAATTCCAGTACTCTGACAGACACCGAAAAATCTTTTTAGAACAATAGATCTAAATCACCCAGACCATTCCTGGATTATTAACTGGGAAGGTACAGATTCTGAGATGCACCAGCTGCTTAATACAAACAGCTGTCCTGAAAGCAGAGCCACTACCCTCCTGACTAAGGGAAGAGATCTGAGAAACAAGTATGCTTTCTTACTGTCTTATCCCCAAGATGAGTAAATAGCAGCCCCGTTGCTTATGCAGCAGAGAATAGTGAGAAGGAAGCCTGCTGGTCCATCAGATAAGTTACACAGTCCTGGCACTGAGCTTTCACTCATGCAAAAGAACAACACACACGTTTTTGCGTGGATGCCGTTTGTGAGCAAAAGCCTGCAGCGAGTTTCCTGCTGGTGCTAGCGTATGCTCAGGATCCACAAAGCTGAAGTGGTCTGTAAGGACCAACAGCTTGGACTGGCAGACCTAAGATGAACTAGGAAGGTAGTTACAGATCAAGAAACACGCTGCTTTACACATATATGTTCAAAGTATGCAAGGAAATTTGAAAGAAATTAACCTGAACTAAATATTCCTTTGCTATAGAACAAAAGTATTCATAAACTACTTACCTCAACAAGTAGTTCAGTATCTGAGACAGATACTGTACATTGAGGAATTAAGGCATCAAGGACCGTATGCAAGGCCAGCATTATTACTAAAAATACGAAACTGATTTAGAAGTATTACAGTTGTGGTTAAGAAAAAAATCAACATGAGAACTCGACAGCATCATCTGGCCTGTAAAGCTCACCAAGACTATTTTATGGAGCACAACAAAACGTGGTGTCAGTGCTTTAAGTCAACCCTGGATTGTTCCTGATCCTTTGATCTCTGACTACCACATAGTAGTAACACCACCTTAGTAGAGTAAGGGTGGATATTGGTCAGAGATAGGATCAGGGAACAGTTTGTCTTTTATTCTCTCTCTGTTGATGAATTTTTTTTGCTTTATGATCCAGTGAAAATTATCCAAACCCAGTAGTAGTATCAAACACAGTTTATTAAGAAACAAAGAACTAAAAAGAGATTTTGATCAGCCAGTTTAAATTTACACTTCATAAATGAAACAAGTCATTCTCATCTTAATTACAGAGAGGGGAAAAAAGCGAGTAACTTACATCCATGAATGACATCCTCTCTGATCCGCTTGTCAGCATCAGGCTATTAAGATGCAACTCTTCCTTAGGAAGCCCACTCAGGCCAGGGTAGCTGCCCTGGTTTCCACACATACAGACACCCAGACACCCAGCCCATGTCTGACTCTGCAGGAAACAGAACAGAGAAGAGGATGGCAAATGGCAATCAATAGCCACTTTTTAAGAGCCCAAGAATCTAGCTGAAGGTACCAGCCCCTGGTAAGACAGACTGATCAGAACTAGCATCTGTCAGGTCCTTTAAGTTCTAAGTGGAATTCCTCCTCCCTCCCTTTCCCTTCAAAGCTGTCATGAAAGACAATGATTTAGATCCACAGTTATACTTAGGGCCTACCTACTTCCTTAAAAAAAATAAAAACAGGTCACTTGGATTAGCATATGTTTAAATTTGCATTTAATTGCTATTCACATCCATCTTATTCAGCGGTTGAGTATATTTAGTTCCACTAAACTGTGAAAGATGAAAAAACAGAATAGGGATTACCTTTATTTCTACTAAGGCAGCTCAAGTTTGTTTCTTGAAGACAGCTACAAAGCCAAGTTAATCTAGAAGAGAACAATCTGTAGAAGTTCATATATAGGAACTGCATACGGTATATAATCAAGGATCTGCAGGAAGAATATTTAAGTAATTTGCCGTGTTCTTAATAACTTCTCCTCCTTCTTGACCCGTTAGGGTAAAGGATTTCCCTCTAAGCTGGGAAAATGAAACAGCAACTACCCTGCTGTAGAGGTAGAATTTGTAAAAACGAACCAAAACCCAAGCATCTGTCCTAAGAACAACAGTAGTCTCCCTCAATGTTTGATGCATTTTTTGATTAACAGTGAGAGCAGGTTGGGAGTTAATACTAAAAAGAGAATAGACCCAAAGTAAACATCCACTGTATAGTTAGAGTGGACTCAAATATTAAATGTTCTCCAGCAGTTCAGCTTTTAGATAGCAAGACAAAAAAAAGGGATATTCAAAAGAACAATTGACTCATTTATTTTTATCTTTTATTATGAGCTAATACCAGGATGACATTCAAATGTCAGATGGCACAATTAAGACAGTCTTGGTAGGAATTATTCCAGCATTCCCAAAATTACAATTTAGTACACGAATGGCATCAAATGTATGCATCACTCCCACAGAGAAAAATTATGAAATTCTGAATATCTTATACCAGAATAGTTTCTGCATCAAATGGGAAAAGAAAAACTGCTGGTAACACAGCTGACCTATAAACCTTTTGTGATAATGACCTGCAGAACAAAATATTCCCCAATTTAACATCTAGTAAAAAAAAAAATATGACTTTTGTTCAAGTTTAAGATTTAATACTTTTATATGGTTAGCCACAACAGGTATTAACCTCAGTTTTACTATATTTTTGTAATGCTACAAAAATCCTATAAAATCAAATTATAGTGATTTTTTCAGTGATTATAATTAAAAAAGCGCAGCTTGTACAAAATAAAAAAAATAAGATTCTATACTCTAATGAAAAATTT